TCTGTAATCCCCTTCTTTACCCAGTTATCATGTCAAGGACAGTCTGCTTGAAGATGGCCACGGGGGCCTTCACAGCAGGATTCCTGAACTCAATTATTCATACCAGTTACATAAGTAACTTATCCTTCTGTGACTCCAATGTCATCCATCACTTTTTCTGTGACAGTCCCCCAGTCCTCAAACTCTCTTGCTCTGATACTCAAATGAATGAAACTATCATTTTCATTTGTGCTGGAATAAACATGTTAGGAACACTTTTAATCATCCTTACCTCTTACGTCTATATCCTGTTCTCTATTCTACGCTTGCATTCAGTTGAAGGGAGACGCAAAGCATTCTCCACCTGTGCTTCTCATATTACAGCCATTGTTGTATTTTATGGAACTGAGATTATTACTTACTTGTGTCCAAGTTCAAACTACTCCCCAACTCAAGGAAAAGTGTTATCTGTATTCTACACAATGATTATCCCAATGTTGAACCCTTTGATATACAGCCTGCGAAATGAAGAAGTGAAGAGGGCTTTAAAGAATGCTATCATTAAGAGGGGCAGCTAGGTGGTGCAGTGGATAGAGCACTGACCCTGAAGTCAGGAGGACCTGAGTTCAAATCTAGCCTCAGACCAAACACTTGACACTTACTAGCTGTGTGACCCTGGGCAAGTCACTTAATCCCAATTGCCTTAAAAAAAATGCTATCATTAGGCTTAGATTCTTAAAGAGTCTACCTAAGAGGGCTCAGATTCTCAAGATCTGACCCAGTTGTATTGGTGATACAAATGCTTAGATTCCTTAAAAGTCTGACCAACATGGCTGGTCTTTAATAACCTTTGTCTTTGACTGAAAGAAGGCTTGGTTTGAATTTATTCAGGACACATGTGTCATGATCTTGGGTTCCCAGCACCCCTAAACATCTAAACCTCAATATTTTTGGCTCCCTCACCATGAAGCTGCCTAACTCTAAGCTCTTCTTTAGTCAAGACTGGGAGGTATGTAAGCCTTCTCTCCTTTCTTGCTCTGCAGTTACGGTCATTCTCCAAAGCACCTAAAAAGGCTTGGAAGTGCTTTATAGGCAGATAGTTGCAAGGCTGTCTCACATTCAGCCTGACACTTTCAGGCTCTTGGTCCAATGGTTTGCTTTGAGGCCATGGACCTGGATACACCTTCTACAGCATAGAAGCCAAGAACAGACATCATATTTGGAAGGGTATGCCCAATTCTGTCAACTCTCTTGGAGCTAGGGAATTGGGAAAACTGGTGGTGCTTTTTGATTCCCTGAGGCTTACTTACTCTCTTCCCTCTACACCCCTGAATCCTCCATCATGGAGGCTACAGGGAAAAGTTAGAACAGTTCAAAACATCTTAGCAGCTTCTGGAGGTTTTGTAATTGATCATTAATGAGTTTTTTCTTTGTTTTTTTTTCTTTTTTAAATTAATTGATTTATTAATTAATTTATTTTTATTTTTCAACATTCACTTGCACAACATTTTGTGTTCCAAATTTTCTCCCCATCTCATCCCTCCCCAAACCCCAAGACAGTGTGCATTCTCAATACCCCTTCCCCTAATCTGCCCTCCCTTCTATCACCTCCCCCCCATATCCCCTTTTCCTTCTATTTTTCTGTAGGAAAGGATAGATTTCTATCCCCATTGCCTGGAGATCCTGTTTCCCAATTGAATGTGAAAACAATTTTTAACATTTGTTTTTAAAAGTTTGGGTTCCAAATTTTCTCCCTTTCCCTTCCCACCCACCCTCATTGATAAGGTAAGCAACTTGATACAGGTTATACAATGCAAAACATTTCCATAGTAGTCATGTTGTGAAAAACTAATTATATTTCCCTTTATCTTATCCCACCCAGACCCTTTTATTCTATTCTCTTTTGACCCTGTCCCTCCTCAGAAGTGTTTACTTCTGATTAGCCCCTATTTGAGGTAAAAGCTCCAGGTTCACTGAGGCCTAGTCTTTCCCTGCATGCCCACACTACACTGTGCTTCTCTCCCAGCCTGCCATAATAGACCTTTCTAATCAACCATCCAGGTTGTCTTGGGCTGGAAATTTGTTTCACTCTGTCTTTTTGTGGGTTCTACTGCTCTCAATTTTGTTCAGAGCCATTTTTACAGGTATTTGGAGGGTTTTGGTGGAGAACTCAAGTAAGTCACTGATTTTACTCTGCCATCTTAGCTCTGACCCCATTAAGGAGTTTTGAAACACCTCCTTACAACCCTGGTCATTCCCTTCTCCCACTCCCTTCCCTTGAGTCAAGAGGGTATCTTTGTTAACCTGTCTGATAAGAGAAGAGTGTTTCACCCTTCCCCCCTCACCTTAGAATTTACCCTTCCCCACCTGGTGAAAGGAAGTATCTGAGAAGGGCAGCAGCTACATCATGGGCCCCTTTGGCAATGGCCTTGGGCCCTGGAGCAACCTTTGGATGGAAGCATCACCCAGGCTCAGTACATCCTGCTCACCCTCCCACCCCCACCTCAACTCTCAGCAGCAGTGGGGAGAGAGGGAAGAGGGATGGGTCAAGATAAAGAAGCTGGCCTCCTAACTTGGGCAATCCAACTCTTTTAAAGTTGTAGTTTTAACTGTTAATGATGAGATGTTGATTATCTATGTAAAGTAATTAGGAAAAAACATTTAACAAAATTGAAGTCACCTAATTGGTAATGGGTTTGTTTCAAGTTTCAAATTGGTGAACTTTTTGTATCAGTTATGACAAGCAACTTTTCATAATTTGGTTACTGGTAAAAACAATTTGGCTATTGCTGGTTATTGTTTTAACGTATAAACTTGCCAGAAAGTTTATTTATGTTATGGATTGTTGAGAATTTTCTAGTCCATGGAAATAATCTCTAACAACTGGCTTTTTACAGCAAGACAAATTTAAATTTGAGGTGTAAATCCAGGAAAAGGTGTTTTTGGTTTTGTTTTGTTTTTTTGCCCTAAACTGTGATTAATGAAACTTGCTATTTGAGGTAAAAACTCATGGAATTTCATTTTAAGTTGTCTAATGTATTATAATAATCCATCAATAATCAATTATCTACCATCTAAGAGAAATGCCACAAGTTACTCAGAGAGAATGTGATACTGGTGGGGAGTTAGCATCGAGAAAAGCTGAGAGGACAATTTTAGCCTCAGTCTAAGATGGGATCCTCCTGGCTCTGTTTCTCCATTATGTTCCTTTGAAAAAGAATGTAATTCCACCTGGCTATTCTTGAGTCTGGCTATGAGGTGGATATGATACTGCATGGTTGGAAAACTGTGAATTATCTGATTCTAAACAGAGCTAAGGATGTTTTATCCTGTCATATCTGAGCCCTACATCTTGCCCCTGCTTTATCCTTTTATAGCAAATTGCTATAGTTAGAGCAATTAGACAGCAAAAGATAAAAGATCAATACAAGTGTGTGAGATCTTGCTGTTTTGACCTGAATGTGTAGTCATTCAATATCCCCAAAAAACTGCAATTAAATCAGAAACATCTTCAATTTGGTTTGAGGAGGAGAATTTCATTGTTAATTGAAGTGATAGTCAGTCTGTTGGCCAATTCCTTTGTGTAACTATTGAACTCAAGGGTGGAAAACTTCAACCAGCAAAAGTGTTACTTAAACTTTAGAAAAAGCAACAGGATGAGACAATCCTGCAGGTCAAATATAAATGTTTTTAATGGGGCTCTCACACTTTTACTTCTCCCTATATCTGAGCCCTGCAGTCTTTTCTATAAGATTTGTGTCTTCCAGACTACAGGCCATTCACCTATAGTTAATATCAAACAGCTGGTACTAGTCAATGTCCCCTCATTGTCCCCTGGATGTAACCTGTGCTTGGTTCTGGTCAACCTCCTCCTTGGGATCCCCTCAAGGCAGGGACAATTCTACACCCTTTGCCAGCAGGAAGTAGTTTTAGAAGCCAAGACCTTAGCCCCTTACCCCAAAAGAATTTAGGTCCCATTTGTTTGAGGGGGGAATGATGGGGATGGGATTTAGACCTCAAAAAGAAGAATCCCTGGACTTTTCCAAATCCCTGGCATTTTTCTTGAGGCTGTAATCCATTTAACTGGTGTTTCATTTTGGCTACACCCAATCTCCCAAATCTGTTCTTTTACCTCCTGATTGCCCCTGGCCACTTCCCACCCTTAATCCTACCTAGACTATATTTTCCTTTGGTCACCTGGTCCAGGTCCCTGGCATTCTGTTCACCCCAGGTTACTGGTCACTCCCATCCAGATATTCCTTAGACCCCACCTCCAGTCACCCCAGATTACCAGGCTGTTCCTGGATCCCTCCCAAAGTCTTTATATATATAAGATTCATCATGTGTTTGATATAGCTAGAAACTCTAGACAACAGGAAGATCTTTTAAAATATGGAATCAATGTGTGTGTGTGTGTGTGTGTATGTGTGTGTGTGATTGTGTTTTGGGGGCAAGGCGAATTATTGTGGTAACAGGTCAGCAATTGAATATTTCACAGCAGGTATCATCTAATGCTTTATAACTAGTTTAGTATAGAACAAAATGACAAATATGGAAATTCTAGTAGCTGATTCAGTCAAATGTACCATATGTCTTCAAATGATTGAGATATTTCTGAATTCTATCTGTCCATATGTAGAGCTGGGTTTGATAGATTAATGCTAAATGAAAAAGGAGGATTTGTCAATTGTTCTCCGTTTTCAGACATAATTTGATCTATAAGCTTTCTTATCAGTTCCATGACCACCCAAACAATCTTTGAATAATTAACACTCATATCAAATATTATAGCAATCACTAATATACAAATGATATATTGTAAAATATAGAGAACATTTGCCATAGAAGACAAAATCTGACAACCTTGTGCAGTTAGAGAGACTCAGAAGGGCTCTTGAATGAAACTAATTAGATTTTACTGAGCCAAACTAAAAATTTACAGAATTATAAGAAAGATAAATCCCTTCAAATAATAGAGAAATAAAGAAATGTTCAAAATTACAATAATATTAGACTATGCAAAAACAACAAAATAAAAAAAATCAAAGTGAGACTGACAAATTCAAAGATCTTTAAAAATATGCATAAGCCACAAAAATAAAAAGATGAGCAAATGTAAGTATTCCATATCAAAGTAAAAAAAATAATTGAAAGAAATTCATTATGTGAAAATTTGTATCAGTAAAAAGTAAGAATTACCAGTTCAGGAGAAACAGCAGAGAAAGACTTCCAAAATGACTAAATGAAAGCTATTGAAGAAAAATAAATAGTATATTCTTTTCCTTTTTACTATTTTTAATTAATATTTAATATGTGAAAATAATTTTCATTCAGGGTATGCATGTTTGTATGTAAGAATTATATGTTTCATCTTCATGCACAAGGAGGAACCACATCAAAAATTCCTTGTTAGACATTTCTAATTGGATGACCCCAAACATTTTGCACTCAACATATCCAAAACTGAACTTCTTATCGACTTCCCCAAACCCATCCCTCTTCCAAACTTTTCACCAGGTTCACCATCTTGACATTACCCTAAATGTCTCTCATCCCACATAAACTACCAGGTGACAGA